AAATGCTCCTGAAATTAAGTGCTGCTTGACGAGCCTATACAGTGTTGTGTTCATGTATGTGACGTCACTGAAGGCCTAAGGTTGAAATGCACGGCCCACCACTGGTCTTCACATGAAAACGGTCGGTGGCACGAAGAATTTTGGGGCCAGCTGCCTTTTTAAAAATATTTAATAGCTGTTGCGCATTGTTGGAGTCTCAGTGCTAAGTAAATATTTTAATTCTTTTTTTAATTGATTTATTTTTGGAAGCATTCATATTAATTCCTACAATTGCAATTCTTTGATTTTAGGGGGGATAGTACACCCTCATAGACATGAATGCAACTGTACAGTATAAAGACGCTGAAGATGAAAAAAAAGTTTTTTTAAATGATTTCTTATATCATCAACATATGGGGACCAGCCCGACTGACAGGGCCACCACAATTCGGCTCTCGTGGGGCCACACCCAAAAAGGCTGAATGTCAAACCCTGGTTTTCCAAATAATGGCTATGTACCAGTAAGCCACACTGATGCGCATCTTACCTGCAATATTGGTCCCCTGCTCTGATGGCCACCACGGCAATCGTCTCCTTGCACTTGACACATTTCTTCGACACACTACGAGATCAAGCAGTCATCATGAAAAACGTTATAGTAAAAATTACCTTATTTTCCACATCATAAAGCGCACCTAAAAACATTCAATTTTCCCAAAAGCAGACAGTGCGCCCTATAATCCTATGCGCCTGATGTGTGATGTTGCACAGTCTCTTTATATTCCCCATTGAGTTGTTTCCCTGCGGTTGTTCCTCTGCCATTTAGTGGTGATTACTAGCAGGAACCAATTGTAACCGCAAAGGGTTCTTTCTGCCCGACACTAACTGACGTGCATTCGCCAACACACACTCAAACGAACAACTACTGTGAGCTCTGCACAGCCATTATGATAGGAAGATAATACCAAAAGCATAGTTAACTACTAACTAAACCAGGGGTGTCAAACTCAGGTCCTGGAGGGCCGCTCTCCTGCATGTTTTCCAAGTCTGACTGTTGCCACACACCTGATTCAAATGAACAGGTTCAATGTCAGGCTTCCGCAGAGCTTGCTGATGATCTTATCATTTGAATCAGGTGTGTTCCAACAGGGAGACTTGGAAAACATGCAGGACAGCGGCCCTCCAGGACCTGAGTTTGACACCCCTGAACTAAACAAAGGAAGAAGACAAGCAAAACTTCTCAGGATATTTAGCCGCTTGTGGATGTGAGCCCACAAGGTTTGTGTGCCTTTTTGTCTTCCATTTATTGTTTTGTCATGCCATTTGTATTTATGGGTTTCATGTCCGTGTTTGTGACCAGTTCTCATAGCTTTGCTACAGCTGCAGCGGTTGTGAAGGCTCTATATCAGGGGTGGTCAACCCGCGGCTTGGAATATCTCCACCTACGCCCACATCATTCTCTGAAAATATCAAAGCAATCGCCTCAATATTTTTGATTTTATGAATATTAAGCGTTTTCGCCATTAAGCAACATGAAGTTCGAGTATGCACCTATGGAGAGGAAGACAGTAACGTCCAAAAATGATCAAATATTGGTGTGATCGTTTTGACATCTTCAGACATAGTTGTGCACATAGGTAGAAATGTGCACATGAATTTTGGTGGTGATTGGTCGGAGTGATATTAAGCATTTTTTTTATGGAGAGAAAAACACTGTGCATGAAATCTAAAATATTGGGGGGGATTGTTTTGATATCTGAGATTAATATGGGCATGGGTGGAGATGTGCACATGAATTTTGATGCCCATTGGTTGTAGCTGTTTCGCATTTGGCTTTTTCATCAAAAGTGAACGCTTCTGTGGAAGAAAAAGCCAAATGTCCACAAAATCCGTAATACTGTGGTGATTGTAATATTTTCAGCGGTTGGAGTGGGCATCAGTACATAGCTGCATGTCAATTTTGTTAACCATTGGTGGTGGTTTTCTGACATTAAGCCACGCTAGGCTTTTTTTTCCCATTGAACGTTTTAGACTCTCCCCAAAAACTTTAACGCAGGGGTGTCAAACTCATTTTTTTCACGAGCCACATTCATTATGGTTAGGGTTTCCCTTGGAGGACCGTTATGAATGTTTAATCACCTCCAGATATTCCAAACACACAACAAATTGATGGATCATGTGTTTTTAAATCAGAAGTCAAGAATAATGACTTGTTTAAACATTGTTTACGTTCATGTAATAAGGGGTGTGGAAACGAGAAAATGCTTGCAGTATCTCCACGTTATTATGGATTACATACGACAATTTGAAATTTTGGGTCCGACTTTAGCAGGCATCAAAGAAGTTGATATGCTTGATTTGCTTTCGTGGGCCACATAAAATGATGTGGCGGGCCAGATCTGGTCTCCGGGCCTTGACTTTGATGCCCGTGTTTTAACGAGTCACATTGTTTCGTATTAAATGATTGATTTTAATACCTACAACATGCATACCCGTCAAGCGAATCAATCATTTTATATTGGAGTCACATCATTTCATTCAGACACATAGGCAAGACTAAATTAAAATAAAACACCGCCTTTGTGTGCTGAAAACAGTTTTCCTAATTGTGTAACGAAGTTTTCAAAAAAAAATAATTACCTTGAAACCTTCTCCTGCTCCAAGTCATCATGATAGGCTTCATCCACCTGACACATTGGACCGAAAACAAAGATTTCTACGAACGTGAAGAAGTTACTTTCGTTGCAGCGTTGATTCCTACGACTGTCACCGATCAGAATTTCAACTCGGTTCCGTCTTCGTCTTCCTCTCCTTCCACTTGTACTGGTGTTAAATGTTGGCTGGCAAATAACGTTTCGGTGCATTACCGCCAACTAGCGGTAAGGAATTCGGGATTATTTTTTTTTTGTGTGTCTTCTTAGAATTAATTGTACATTCATCTTTGGGGGTAAAAAAAAAAAATATATACACAGCACTATATATATACACACATACATATATACATACAGTATATATCATTTATTATTATTTTTAATGCAGCTTTGTTCAACACAATCCAGAATCATGATTTTGGTCCAAAAATTATAAATTGTTCGGACCTAGGTGAAATTATTGAATATATCCACCAACCACACATATCAGAACCTTACATTGGGCTAAAAGGTTCTGTGAGACGACAGGATGTATTGCTTTATTGAAAAGAATGATGACAAACACTTGTAAAAGGTTCAGATCTGTCACACGAAAGTATTTACAGATTAAATATTCACTGGGGTTCTGCGCCGTTAGATTTTGTTGATGTTGGCTGAGGGTAGGGTTGACTTGTCCAAATCATCAAAATAACAATGAGTCAAGGCCTCACGTGTTGAGATCCGTTGGGGAGGATTGTAGGCCAACATTTTCTGTAAATGAGAAGAGAAAATGTTACCGTCTATGGCGGGCGCACGCACCCCCGGCCTGAAAGCCACATTGACTTTATTGCTTTCTGAAAGAGTCAACTACTTTGGGATAATTGATCTTATAAACGCTTACCAACGCATCAATATATTGATCACACAATACAGTAGAGCTACATCAGCTGACTGCACGCAAATGCAATTTAGGGGAAATATTGACAAAGCTTCATTACATCATGGACCCAATTATAGTACATATAGTAGAGTACATCATGAACATTTTTTAAAGAACAAAGTCATAAATACAAGATTGGTGTCAATTGATATCAATTAAAAAAAAAAGTTTATATGACGAGATTATATTTCAAAGTACGATAGGAGACATTCAAACTCACATTGTAAGAGCAACAACAACCACTACTCCGCTGAAATACAGTATCTTAAATCTCAGTTTTAGGTAAATATATTTAACTTTTTGCCCTGGTGCACCCAATTCGATTTGACTCTCGGTCTCGGACTGGCTGGACTCTGGATTTTGCGTGAAGAGATCAGGACTGATCTGCTGTTCTTCAACTTCATCAATATAACAAGGAGAAGCATTTGGGGGAAACAACAAAGTCCTTCATGTATTACACCCCACCACGCTTGTGACAATGACTGCAAACGTTGCAGTGTTGTGACAGAGGATCACATCGGAGTTATTTGTAAATTCACAAGATACACAGGAATTACGGTATCTCTTACTGCTCAACACGTTCAGACAAAGCAAACTATTTTGTTCAATTTGTCGGTCTGGGTACATTTAATTTTTCTCTGAATAAGCCAAATGAATTTAGACGATATATAGAGTTTTGGAAAATCGCTCCTGATACCGTGTACGAATGAATAACCTTACTTTCAATAGGTCCAGACCATTCTTGTCCAGGTTTTTCACCGTGGAGGCAAGGTTGCCAGGCTTCCATTTTGGAAAAGTGCTTTTGTAGTCAGGTAGGCTTTCCACATCAGGCCAAACAACATTATCTGGTGTTCCCAATGTCCTGAAAACAAACAAATAAAAAATACCAATAGACAAGAGGTATTAAAAGGAAATTTGAAATTGAAACAACCAACCGCACTTGAAAATTAGTCGATCAATTATTTTCATAAAATGCATGCTTAAGACTAGGGCGGCAACTAATGATTATTTTAATTATCAAATTCACTTGTCGATTATTTTGGCTACGTTCAACACTGTAGGCAAACATGATGGAAAGCGGATTTTTTCTGCCCATGATTTTTTTCTCAAAGTCTGATCGGCTCAATTCAAATTTTTTTTTTTCAAATCCGACCTGTGCCGCCTCATAGATCGGATATGTATCCATTTTTTTGCAATATGGCCACAGTCTAAATGGACAGGTCGCGTACATGCGACTTAAGCCATATTAGTCATTGCCGCGCGGGCAGGGGAAACAGGCTACTTGGGAGGGAGATTGACAACTGTCTGTGAATCTGTAAACTTGTTTCAAATAACAGTATTGACTTTATATTAGACTTTAATTTAATCCCACTTGAAACATGAAGAGAACATTTGTAGTGATTGTTCACAAACAAGGCAGACTAAGGTGCATGTAATGTAGGCGACGACGCCCCCCCGCCACAAAAAACAGTTGAGAGTTGCAGTCTGAAGGTAACTGTCGATTTTTCTGTGAATTGGATTTTTAAAAAAAACATTGAAATTTCCATCCATTTATTCAAAAGTTGGACCTTATTTCAAATTAACAGTGAAGAAAAATGAATTACGACTCACTGGTTTGGAAGATAAGATCGGAAAATAGGCAAAAATGTTGATCGTTGTTTTCCAAAGTAATAGCAAATGTTTTATTTTGTTCGAAATTTTTAAAAATGGATTAAAATTTTGATTTAGCCCAAAAAAGGAGAAATTTTGATTTGTTTAAAAACCATTCTTACATTTCGCTTGCTTGCAAACAAAAATGCAAATGGATCTGGTTAGGAGTGTTCCAAACAGGGTTTTAAGGTTCCGATTCCAATTACATGTAAAGCCTTTTTTGTACATCTTGCAGGTGCTACACGTGCCACCAAATTTTCATAACTATCGGTCAAACTTAGTGGGACGAGGCTCTGTTAAACCTCTGTAGGGGCGCTACATATCCGTTTTTTGGTACTTGTGTATGGCAATTTTAAATTAAGAAATTTTTCACCGGGCCAGACCCAACGCGTGTGCAAAGTTTGGTAAGTGCGTGTTCATCTTTAGTCCCTCAAAAATGCAATTCATTGTGGAGAATAATAATTTCTACAAAAACAAATAATTTTGAGAAAAATGACATCACAGCAGTCGCTGTTGAGTGGCAACCATGCAAAGACGTGCATGATTTGAACATGGAGGAGAAATCATGACGTCACAACGTTGCGCTCTGCTACGCTGTAAATGTAATCGTGACTAAGTATAGAAATACAAGGCTGATTGTTGAGACTGCTACAGCGCCCAAACTTGAATGTCTGGTACAAGGCCAGACAGCTACCCCCGCCCATTGTGAAACTGAGACGATTAACGGTTTCCAACAGCGAAACATAGCGTAACGAAGCTAGATGGTAATGCTTGTCTGGCTAATGCTAGCAGTGATGTTTCCAAAGAAGGCAAAAGAAAGGCATGTACATTGAAACTAAGCCATACCTCAATTCTCAACTGATTTTCATGACTTTTTGGTTAACACCAAACCCTGTGCTATCAATACACAGCAATGGATCCTTGATTTTTTGTTTGTGACACTGTGGAACGCGTTAATACGGACCGGATTCAATTTGTCTTACTCAACAATGGCGAACTCCATGCCTACACAGGATGCGAATGGCAAAACATAATTTAGGAGATTATACACATATTTATCTATATTTACTGTTGCATTAATTTAGTTATTTGAAATAAATTGACATGACACAATTTGATTTGTACTGTGTGAAGATATGCCATAGTCTCTCTGCATGAGATTATTTGATGAAATGAATACAATGTTTTAAAGATATTTCTTATGTAAATCAAGGACATTATGAAGGAAGGTAACAAGGTATGAAAGAAACAGTTTATCGAAATCAGCCATTTTCGTTAATTACATTCGCTTTGAAAGCTTTGAGTCCGGAACAGGGACAATCCGAGTGGGATAAATCCAATTTTCCACCTTCCGTGAATACAGCATAAGCACACCACATGTCATATCAAGCCACTTGGTTCCCAGAGTGCATTGTGTGGGGAAATATATTAAAATTATTAAGTTATAAGGATGTTAATACTGCTCACATACGTCTGTGTTACTATTAGTTGAATGTTTGCGCTCATATTTGTCATACTTTTTTTTTTTCTTAAACACCGTGTGATTTTAGGTTTTGTGTGAAAATAGTGACATCCAGGTCAATTCCTTCTTTCAATCTGCTATGATTTAAGCAGTGCTGGTAAAAGCTAAATTATGCATAGAAACAATTACATTTCGCATTACAAACTGTTATGTTATTTAAAAGGAACACAGTTATGTAAATTTCTCTGTAATAGAATATCACTCTTTTTTGCAGTAGCTGCACACAATTTTTTTTTTTTTTGCAGTATCTGCAAATGGGTAGACTACAAAAATAAGGCCATGAACAATTGGCCACTTCGGGTGACTGATTGACCATTAAAATCTTTGATTGGCGATCACACACTTTTTCACAAAAATCGGCCAATCACGATCGGTGGCAGATCCCTTGCTCTGGGTGGAGCTTCGCATTTCAAACAAACTACACACTACCTGAAGATTCTAAAGAGCTGGTCTATTTCAGAGTCTCCTTGGAACAGTGGCTTCTTTGTGGCAAGCTCAGCAAAAATGGTGGCAGCGCTCCAAACGTCAACAGGAGTTGAATATCGGGGGGAACCCAGGAGAACCTCGGGAGCCCGATACCAAAGGGTTACAACCTGGAAAGATATCAGGCTGCATTTATCTCAGAGGACATTTGAGAGGATTTGTGATACTTGTAGTCAATTTGAGGTAATTTTTTGGAGGAGGCACAACAAAAATGTACATTTTAAATATCTTATGCATATGGATGATTCCCACGTGTGCCTGCCCACCCATCAAGTGTAAAATTACACAAATGAGTAACTTTTGTTGTCTATTAATTGCTGAGAATACGATGAGGAGACATTCTGCGAACATGCCTTTTTACTGATATGTTGATGATTGCGCAAAACATGGTGCCAGAGAGTGCTAGATGGCCCTCAAGGACAACACGAGCAGCCAGTGTGAAGGAATACTGACTTTTAAATAATGTTACTAAGTATTCAGTTGTTTTAAGTTATCATGGTTACGTTTCTTAATGTACCATATTTTATGGACAATTAGTTTTTTTCCCCATAGTTTGATTGGGGGGTGTGAATTTTATTCTGGAGCG